CGGCGCAGAGAAGTAGTAGTCAACTGCTAGAAGTGAGTCAATTGAATTCCACAATGAATCTCCAACTGCAGGATATCTACCAACTGGCCCACGCGGTCAGATGTGGCACAAGGTGGAGTATCCGGTCCAGCGAAAAATTCCCCGTAAACCCCGTATAAAACGAGGTCGGGTAGCTGTTTCCCGAGACAAAACCCTGTCCTCCGGCATAGCCTCGTCTGGGGACCCTCTCTGCTCGGAGGCAGAGAGTTTGACCAGCACAGCTGGAGACGAATCTCCACTTGCAGGATATCCACCAACCGCCCCACGTGGTCAGATGTGGCTTAGGTGCCGAATTTAATGTGTGGTATCCGAGCCCGTAGGTTCGGCCAAAAATTCCCCATAGACCCCGTAAAAAATGGGGTTGGGTAGATGTTTCCCAAGATGAGACTCTTGACCTTCGACATAGCCTTGTGTGGGGATCCTCTCTGCCCGGAGTCAGAACGTTTAACCAGCACAGCTGGAGACGATTCTCCAACTGCAGACCAACATACAGTATTTACTACTGTATTTATGTGAATGAAAACATGACTATTATCGACCGTAGGTATGCCACAACAATTAACTAGAATCGCCATTATTGTTGCGAGACTGGAGACACGTGATTTCCGACCTCAAACACAATCAGCAGCACGGGTTTCTAACTTCTTATTCTAAGCATATAACATCAATCTAGTACTGCGCTTAAATTCATACCGGTATAATGTAATTATATTGAGTTGGTGAATGAAACATTATTATCTGATATTATCTTACTTACTCGTTCTGTATTTAAAATTTCGTAATATTTTATTGCTTGACGAAAATTAAGATGATATTGAAATGGAAAATATCATAATCCCCCTCGTCTGTTTCAGAAATTTTTCTTTATTGTAATTTTCCTCTTTCTGAAAAAAAAAAAATTTTCTTTGAAGTTTGTTGTCTTGGGATAAGAAATGTTTTAAGGCTGTCTGACAAGTTCGAAACATACTGAAAAGTGCTTCCAGATTGTTCTATTTTAGTACTTAGAATAAACAAAGAAAAACCGTTTTTTTATGGTTATGTGCTTGCTTTTTTTACGCATTGTTTTCGATTCTGCTCATTCTAAGTTAACTAGAAATGGTTTTCTTTTTTTAAAAAAAAAATGGCGCATCCAAATGGAATTTCTTTACTTGATGAAATCGAAAGAATACAGAATACCATCTTGGTGTTTTAATAAACTACACAACCGTATTTTTTTATTTTACTATAACCAATGAAATTGTTCAGAATAAATAATATTATGATATCGACCGGAGATTTTTTTTATTTTATTATTTTTTTACAATTTCGAGAGTAAAAATACTGATATTCATCAGCGTCGTTTTCATAACAATGAACGAAATGGCCATACAAATCGTAAGTCTCAAGAAAAAAAAAATGATACAGTTTTGAATTCAGAGTTTTCATTCTCCTAGATGGGTTGCCATTCAAATCTATAGAACCCAGTCTGCGCTACTAATCACCCATAGCTGAGTTAAATTTGTTTTTTATATCCTCAATTTTATTCACAGCGCGTTTTACATGGTCATCACTGCCCCCCCCCCTAACTATTGTGGTTCATGGTGACATCTAATGCAGAATAGGGCAATGAGTTACCGGTTCTTTTTGCATTGGCGATGTTAAAGTTACTCCGTCTCTCCTCCTTGCGAGGAGGATTTGTTTTTGAATTTAGTCTTTGCCTAATGAGGCATGATCTTCAAATCGGCAGGCGGTTTTTATTCAGAGTTTTCCTTCTCCAAGACTGGTTGCCAACCAAGGTTATAAAACCCAGTCTATCCTGCTATTTTAAAGATAGCTGGGGGGGAGAAGACTTAGATTCATGCCTATGTTAAGGGTATTCAATACGTAAGTGAATGTAATGAACACCACTGGAATTCGAACTCGGATCTCCGATTCTTCAATCCGAGCCGCAATCCATCATGAAGCTTAAATGAAAAGAAAAGTTGAATTAATTATTGTTTTCGCCTATTTTACAACACCAATAATAAATAAAAAAAAAACATATAATTATGTTTGTTACTTTTTTTATTTGATTAGTTATCCACTACGTTACGCCAGGACATTGCCGCAGATAAATAATGGACTATTCCGTTTTGATCTCGGGAACAGACAGAAACGACATATCAAAGAAGCTATTAGTGTTTTTTGTTGTGTGGATAGGGGTTGTTTTTGCTTTTAGGTTATTTTTACAATGACGTTCATCCTATATAAGGCCCGGGAACCAGTCAAGTTCGTGGGTTACAGAGTAAGAGGCATAGTTTAAGATATGTGGGACGATAAAGGTTAACCTTAGACTTGGACAGGTTGTAGTGATCGAGGAAGCATCCTCTTGGGAGTCGGGTCCACGGAACAGCGGTTAGTGGGAATAAGTTGCTCAAGTGAAGCTGACATTTTCAACAGTGGAATACGAAGGCTACGATGCTCGTGTCATGGCGGATCTTAGCCGTGAACTGGGGGAATGAACGAATATAGTTCGTCTGTACACTTTATATGGATATAGCGATTGAATAGCCCGAGTCTCGCGATATTTCGTCTGGGAGAAAGGGGTTGTAGGGTGGGAAATAATTTGTACTCTATCGAAACTTGAAAGTGAAAACTGAGCAGCTCCTGCCATAGAAAGAAAGAAAAAGAGAAAGAAAAAAGAAAGACGAAAGAAAGATATAGAAAAGGAAAAAGAAAAGAAAAAGAAAGATATAGGAAAGGAAAAAGAAAAGAAAATGAAAGATATAGGAAAGGAAAAAGAAAAGAAAAAGAAAGATATAGGAAAGGAAAAAGAAAAGAAAATGAAAGATATAGGAAAGGAAAAAGAAAAGAAAATGAAAGATATAGGAAAGGAAAAAGAAAAGAAAAAGAAAATATAAAAAAAGAAAAAAGAAAAAAAAAAGAAAGATATAGGAAAGGAAAAAGAAAAAAAAAATGAAAAAGATATAGGAAAGGAAAAAAAAAAAAAAGAAAGATATAGGAAAGGAAAAAGAAAAGAAAAAGAAAGATATAACAAAGGAAAAAGAAAAGAAAAAGACAAAAAAGAAAAAAGAAAAATAGAAAGAAATAAAGAGAAAAGAAGGAAGAAGAAACAAAAAGAGAAAGAAAAAATAAAAAGACAATGAAAAAGAAAAGAGAAAAACGGAGAAAAGAGGAAAAAGAAAAAGAAAAAAGAAAAAGAAAAAGGAAAGAGACAAAAAAGAAAGAAAAGAAAAGAGTTAGAAAAAAGAGAAAGAAAAAGAAAAGGAAAAAGAAAGAAAATGAGAACAAATAAAGAAGAAAAGAGAAATAAGAGAAAAGAAACAAAAGAGAAAAAAATGTTAGAAAAGAAAAAGGAAATAGAAAAAAGAGAAAGAAAAAGAAAAGAGAAAAAATTTTCTTTTTTTTTAAAAAAAAAAAGGAAAAGTGAAAAAGAAAAAAAAAAGAAAAAAGAAAGAAAAAAGAAAAAAAAAGAAAAGAAGAAAAAGAAAAAAAGAAAAAAGGAAATATAAAAAGAAAAAAAGAAAAGAAAATAGTTAAAAAAAAGAGAAAGAAAAAGAGAAGAGAAAAAAGAAGAAAAGCGTTAGAAAAAAGAAAAAGAGAAAAAGAAAGAAAAAGAGAAAAAGAAAGAAAAAGAGAAAAAGAAAAAGAAAGAAGAAAGAAAAAGAGAAAGAAAAAGAAGAAAAGAGACAAAAGAGAAAAAACGGAAAAAGTGTTAGAAAAAAAGAGAAAGAAAAGAGAATAAAGAAGAAAAGCGTTAGAAAAAAGAAAAAGAAAAGAGAAAGAAAAAAGAAAAGAATGAAAATGAGAACGAGAAAAGAAGAAAAGAGAAATAAGAAAAAAAGAGACAAAAGCGAAAAAAAAAGAAAAAGTGTTAGAAAAAAAAAGAAAGAAAATAGAAAAAAGAGAAAGAAAAGAAAAAATAAAATAAAGAAAAAAGAAAAAAGAAAAGAAAGAAAAGAAAAAAGAAAGAAAAGAAAGAAGAAAGAAAAAAAAAGAAAAGAATTGAAGAAAAAAAAAAAAAAAAGAAAAAGAAAAAAAAATAAAAAATAAAGGCTCTGCCAATTGTTATTACAACAAAGCCGAGGACAATATTCCGCATGTAAATAGTGTAAATAACGATAACCCATCATTCCAGAAATTCAGACAGAAAATAAAACATCGTAAAAACAATATGGAAACATTGAGTAACAAACTTATACAAGTTGACGGCAGAAAATTAACTAGGAATGAGAGTAAGAGAAGACACATTGCTTAAAACTACAGTGAACAGGAAGTCATGAAGAGCCATGAACATCCACGTCTGAAAGATACACGGCAAATAAATTAAGACTAGCGCCAGTCCACTAAGCTTAGCTTTTTTCGTCAAATGAAATGAAGAGAAACTTGGGTGATAATGATTGCGTCATTTTTAAGGTCAATTTTCGACATCCTTTAATTTGGCTTGGCTCAAACACAAACTAGGAAAGAACAACCTCAAACACAATACCAGGTCCGGATATTAATTTGGCTCAACTAGTAGACATCAAGAAATAGTCTAAATCAGTAGTTTATAAGATTTGGTTACGAAATATCATTCTATGGATGGAGCCAGTCTGGTTGGTTTATTGGTAAATGTTCATAATTTTTAGGGGAAAAAACGCCGATTCATAGAAAAAATAATCAAATTACAGACTCATAAGTCTTACATTTTTTTAACTTTAATTCACAATACCTCAGTATTATATAGCGTAAATACGAGAAATAAGGTTAAACTAGTTGAGAAAGATTACATCTTTTAAGTGGCGTCTATTTTCAGCCTCACACGAAAAGACATTTTCCATCAGAGCCCCACATATGTTTCAGGCTTTGATGCTTTAATATCTGTTGACCTTCAGCTGTTGGACAGTCTGAGGCTTGTTGATATGCACCTTTTAATTGAGATAACAGCAATAGGAAATCCTCAGAGCTTGTCAGATCCGGGAAAACATGGTGGCCAGTTCATGCCTCAACTGTGCGAAAATCTGTCTTGTTGTATATGTTACCTCATATATTCCTTCCTTCCTTCCTTCCTTCCTTCCTTCCTTCTTAATCTGTTCATATCTATCTATGTATCTCAGACTGTTCGCATCTATCTATCTATCTATCTATCTATCTATCTATCTATCTATCTATCTATCTCACCGTGTTCATATCTATCTATCTATCTCAGACTGTTCGTATCTATCTATCTATCTATTTTTCTATCTATCTCACCGTGTTCATATCTATCTTTCTCAGACAGTTCGTATCTATCTATCTATTTTTCTATCTGTCTATCTCACCGTGTTCATATCTATCTATCTCAGACTGTTCGTATCTATCTATCTATCTATCTATCTATCTATCTATCTATCTCACCGTGTTCATATCTATCGATCTCAGACTGTTCGTATCTATCTATCGTTTTTTTTCTATCTCTCTATCTCACCGTGTTCATATCTATCTATCTATCTATCTATTTCTAAGGTATTTTCCATCAGTGCCCCACATTGTTTCAGGCTTTAATGCTTTGATGTCTTTCTGAATGTTGGCCTTCAGTTGTTGGGCAGTCTGTGGCTTGTTGACATGTACCTTTTCCTTGAGAAAGTCTCAACAGGAAGATCTCAGGGCGTGTCAGATCCAGGGAAACATGGTGGCCAGTTTATGCCTCAACTGTGCAAAAAAAAAGTCTGAGAAGCTGAATTGTGCCGCTTGTTATAAAATCCGTTACCCACGATATTCCTTCCTTCCTTCTCAATGTGTTCATATCTATCTATCTATCTATCTATCTATCTATCTATCTATCTATCTATCTCAGAATGTTCGTATCTATCAATTAATCTATATATCTGCAAAAATCTACCTGTGAAGCTGAATTGTTCCGCTTGTGGTGTGATCTGTTACCCCATATATTCCTCCCTTCCTTCCTTCTTTTTCAGTCTGTTCATATCTATCTATCTATCTATCTATCTATCTATCTCAGACTGTTCATATCTACCTATCTATCTATTCATCTATCTCTGTCTGTTCGTATCTGGCTTTCTCTCGATCTATCTATCTATCTATCTATCTATCTATCTATCTATCTATCTATCTATCTATCTATCTATCTATGTCACCGTGTTCATATCTATCTATCTATCTATCTATCTATCTATCTATCTATCTATCTATCTATCTATCTATTTCTAAGGCATTTTTCATCAGAGCCCCACATATTTTCAGACTCAAATGCTTTGATTTCTGTCTTAATATTGACCTTCAGTTGTTGGACAGTCGGAGGCTTGTTGACATGAGCGTTTTCATTCATATAGTCGCAATAAGAAGATCCCAGGGCGTATCAGATCTAGGGAAACGTGATGGCCTGTGCAAAAATCTGCCTGAGAAGCTGAATTGTGCCGCTTGTTGTATGATCTGTTGACCCATGTTGCTGTACGGAAACAGGTTGATGCATTTAAAAATACGTTGGGGTGACGTCCGAGGGACCCAAACCTGTCGAGACCGGCTTCGAATTGATATGCTCAGTCTTCGCTATATCGAGTATGTTGTGGATTCCGAGGTGAAATTCGGTCTCCAATGAATGACAAACGCAAGAAATAAAGATAAGAAATTAAATGTATTTACACAATAATACAATAAATATATATTGTTAGTAAATCCAGGAACTATGGTTAGTCTTCCAATAATAATATATATAGATATAGTCTCGAAGTAGGACTTCCTTAGAGTCTACGTGCTTGTAACTGACTTCTACAAGTTTTTTACCTCACACTATTTCTACCTCCAACTCAATCACAAATAAAAAACTCTCCCTCCGTATATTTAAAACTGCCTCAGCGTATTTAACGACAGCAGTCCAAGTAAAACTCTGGTCGAGTCCACTTATATGAAAAAGGGGAGGACCCCATAACAGAGTAGATATGAGAAATAAATTTAGACTAGTTGAGAAATATTACATCTTTTAACTAACGTCCATTTTCAGCGTAACACAAACTGCCCTTTCTACTACATTTTCCATCACAACCCTCAGTGTTTAGTTTCAAATACACTGATTTGCGTCTGAATGATATCCTTCAACTGTTGGATAATTTAGGTTATTTTAAGAATAAACGTTTTAAAAAATAGATAGCCCATAAGAAGCAATCAAAGCTTGTAAGACCCTAGGAACGCGTGGCCAGTATATGCCGAAACAATGAGAAATTGTCCTTAAAAAAAATTTATCTGAGAAGCTGGATTGTGACCCTTCACGTTTTGACCTGTCGTCCCATCTTGTTGTACGGAAGGTTGATGCTTTTAAGAATTCATTGGAATGACATCTGAATGATCCGAACGTTTGAGTTGATATGCTCAGATCTTCTTAGATATTCCCTCTTACTCGCTAAGATACTCCTTCGTTCTTAATCTAATGGCTTCTGTCAATTCATGGCAGGTCACTTACTGACCATTTACTCTCAGAAACTTAGAAAATCTCTAACACCGTAATGTGATTTGGTAGAAAGATTTTACAACCTGTATTCATTTTTCAGTCGTGTATTTTTAGATAATTAATTCCCAAAGGTTTCTTTATAAAATACCTAGAATAATAATAATAATAATAAGAAGAAGAAGAAGAAGAAGAAGAATAATACAGAAAATTGTTCTGACAAGTACAGCCCACACCTTACGAAGGGCTTATATCTATGTTTTTTTTTTTTACACATTTTTTGTCAGTGGAAAGTATCATGACGCCATTTCTAAGAATAGATCCCTGGGGGGGCCTTTAAAAAGAAATGTGTAAACGCCAGAAATCAAAGAAAAAAAAATAATAATAATAAATATTATTAAAACTTCAAACCCTTGGTGTTTTGCGGCCATCCACTATTTAATATTTAATTTTATATAGCTATGATTAATAAGCAATTTTTCAATGATAATCTGAATTTTTAGAAAAACTATAAATAATATGAAAATTTTATGAAATATAATTAATCTCTATCTATAAAAGGCAGGATGTGTGTGTGTGTGTGTGTGTGTGTGTGTGTGTGTGTGTGTGTGTGTGTGTGTGTGTGTAACGAATGCACGGCCGCAATTTTTGACGGATTTGCACCAAAATTTACATGCACATGCTCCAAGTTAGGGTAAATGGCCAAGACCGACTTTACATTTCCCAACTCCTTATCGATAGTGGAAATAATCGATTTTTCATGCTTCTACGGCAGTTTTCATGTAGTTTGCGGCCATTTTCTACTGGCCAGAGTGAGAGCTTACAGCTGGCTGCCACGAATAGGCAGGAAGATTCTATTGGTCAGCGTGAGAGCCAACAGCTGACTGACACGAATGTTAACTAGCATGCTAATATGTAAAAAAAATCGATAGCTGCATTCGTCACAAGTGGGGAAACATTTAAATCTGCATGGCACTTTACTCCAATTGGCTCATTCGCTTGCTTAAACTCAACGTTGATTTGATTCCGCAGAACTGGGTTAGATGTGAAAAAGTCTTTGTTGTTAACATTCTTTTTTCATTCAGTTTTTCCAGTTACGATTCCTTTTTTAAAGCTGATCGTTTTGTGTTCATTTTGTTTAGTTCTTTTTTCGTAACAGATTTAATGTTTAGTATAGAGCTTAGAAAAAATTCGCAGTGTGAGATGGGCATGAAGTAAGGCATGTAGCAACATCAGCACGGCAAAGGACACTCCTTTAAAGGCAAGGAAGGACAAAAACATTTTAAGTCAAGTGATAGCGACTGCTGTATGAGTCGTACGATTTTTGAATCAAGCACGGGCAACGCCGGGCCATGCGGCTAGTAACATATAATACCGGATTTTCTTAAGATAAACAACTAATCCCTATAATTAATACGGAGCCTTTTATAAAACTATAATTAATTCCGAACTTTTTATAAACCTATAATTAGTACCGATTTTTTTTTAAAGAGGTGCATATTAATGAGTTAAGGAAAAGAAATAGCTTTCGTATGGTAATGACATTTTAGTCCCTTTTAAATTAATTCCATTTGGGACTTCGTACACTTATCCTATTGTCTATTTCACTTTCCAGAACAGTCTACAAATGTCCTTTTTCATAATTGTCATCAGCCGTTTCGTCGCATTTTTTTCTCTTAATCTCAACCATGGTTGTATAATTCTTCCTTTTTCAACGTCAATATCCAAAATTCAACCATATCTGAACTGTAAGTGGAGGGTGAGTGGGTTTCATACCTGAAAGATGATTTTTCTTTTTCTTTTTTTTTTTTTTTTTACCAAAGTGACCCTCGTTGAAACTCTACTTGCTGTGCCATTATGAACCAGACGGTCACAAAATACAGTTTCACCATTGATTGTAGTTGACCCTGCCCTGGCGTCTCGTCTACAGTCACTTTCTCACAGACGCGCCGTCGCCTCTCTCTGTCTGTTCTACAACTACTTTCATGGAAATTGCTCCGAGAAGCTGCATTCGCTGGTTCCCAGACATCATGAGTTCCAGCGCCCTACGAGGCTGGCATCCCGCTCTCACCCTTTCACTGTCGAAACTCCTAAATGTAGCCGTCTCTTCTACTCTAATAGCTTCATGTCTCACACCTCTCGCCTGTGGAACTCCCTTCCCTATTCCTGTTTCCCTGTGAGCTATAATCTCCAGCTATTCAAGTGTAATATCAATCGACATCTCCAGTTGCCTTGATCTATCCACTACCCTCATCCTTTCTTCTATCACTCCTATCTGATCTTTCTCTAAATTTTCTGTAACCCCTTGCGTCCTAGTGGCTTCCTGCCTTGCTTGGGGTGAAACGCTTAAAAAAAAAACTCAACAGGAGAGTCTCTGTCTATTCACACATACGAAGTAAGCCCCTGACTGCGGTTGGTTACAAAAGAACACCTAGGCTATGCACCCAGTTCTCTAGATATTAAAAATAGTTGGATATTCCCGACAGGCCACGTATTTTTTTTTATTTGAAATTCTTTCAAAAAAAAAATATTCGTCTTGTTTTCCTTTTCTGTATTTTTTTTCAAGCAGTTTCATTTAAATTGAAAAATTGATCTATCGATCGTAGTAGAAACAGCAGGCTAAAAACTTGATAATCATCGATCAAAATTAAATTAAATATTCACTTTGTCACCAGAAATATAGGCAAGTGACAGTACTGTCGGCAAGAAACTTTTCGCAACTCTGATTGATTTTCTATTTTACACACCTTCAACGGAAAATATTCGGCAAAATTACACGCCTATCGAATTCGAATTAATTAATGTTGAATTATTAAATTAACACCGGATTAGCAAATTAATATAAAATTAGTAAATTTGGCAAATTTTATCAAATTGGTAAATTTGTAAATTAATATCGCAAAATCGGTGGTGGAACTTTATTTGTAAGTTCTCCTTTGAAATAAAAAAAAGTGGATGCCGGTTTTATAATTTAGTTCTGTATTACTTAATCATAAAATCGTCATCCACTTCTTTATTTCAAAGGAGGACTTGGCAAAAATGAGTATTTCCCAATACTAATTT